CCAAGATCATGCCACTGCACTCCAGCCTGGGCAACAGAGGGAGACTCCATCTCAAAGAAAAATAAAAGTTTAAGAAGCACAATGTTAAATCCTCTTTCATCTTGCAAAACTGGCTTAACAGCACCCCTCTCCTACTCCAAAGAATGGTAGTGTATTTTCCACCAGTGATTTCTGTTGTCTTAAGAAATAAAACAACTGAAAGATGGGGTTATTGTATAAAATGGAAACAGCAGGGTTGTGTGAAAGTCTCCAGCTAAGCATTGACATCTCCTGTTTTCTCCTACTGTTTGACTTCCAGTACGTTGGCAGCTTTTATCTTTTACAAGCAAGATATTAAAATTGAATCACATTAATAGAAAAGGCCTAATGGTACTGAAAATTGGGATGTATCAGTGAAATGGCCGGGCCTGTGACCTATCATGTATAAGTTAAGTCAGCAGCTTGACAAGACATAGCCATATTCTTAGTCCTTCTGGGCGGCTATAACAAAATACCATGGACTGAGTAGTTTATAAATAATAGAAATTTATTTCTCACAGCTCAGGAGGTTGGGAAGTCTAAGATCAATGTGTCAGCATGGTTGGGTTCTGGTGAAGACCCTTTTCTGGGTTTCAGACTGCTGAATTCCCACTGAGTTTTCACATGGTGGAAAAGTTAGGCTCCTTTGGGCCTCTTTTATAAGGGTACTAATTCTATTCATGAAGACTCTGTCACCTCCCAAAGGGCTACCTCTTAATACCATCATATTGGGGATTAGGTTTCAACATAGGAATTTTGCTAAGGGACACAAATATTCAGACCATGGCACCCATGTGGACAGTACACCAGTTAGGACCAGAAAGAGGAAGATTCAGAGGTCAAGTTGGGAGGATCAGTATCTGACTAGGAGTTTCAAAAAGAGAATACAAATTAAGTGTTGTTGAAAACTTGATTAAAATAGTAATACAAGAAAATTCTCTGAAATATATTTTCAGAATGTATTTCCAGGGATGTTTGTTCCAGATTGAAAGGATTCTTTCCAGGTGCTGAAAAAAGATCCATACAGAGGTTATCATCATGAATACTAAAAATTAAGTGGAAATTCTGAAATCTTCCAGATAGAAAAATTAGACTACGTTGAAAAGACTAGGTATCAGGCATTATTAAATTAACATACAAAGCTAGAATATAGTAGAGCAGTGCCTTAAAAATCCTGAGGGAAAGTGATTTCCATTTAGATTTGTATACTGAGCCAAGTACTGTATTGTTTGTGAAAGTATTAATAGCATAAAGAGACATTTAGATATCAAAGCCTCAAATTTATCCTTCATTTTTTTCTCAGGAAGCTATTGGAGATGTGTCTCAGCATTCTGAGAGACTAGGCTGAGGAGGAAAGTGTAGGATCCAAGAAAAAGGATATTTAATAAAGAGAAGAAAAGGAAATTTCAGGAAATAGTTATTCATTGGGCCTGGACAGTAGCCAGAGTAGAATGGAAGGAGGACAGAACATTGGAAAGTTTCTTAGAAAATAGGAAATTAATACATTGCTTTATGTGTCTGAGGATTTTGAAAAGAGACGTGTAGTTCTGCTGGAAAATTCAGAGGAGAATAGTGATAACATCCTTGGAAAACCAGGCAGTTAAGAAAAACCACACTGGGCAGTTATTTCAGGAAAACTATATATAAAAGAAAGGAAGTGGAGTCATTGCAATGTGATTTAAGTGGAAATACTAATATGTACTTTGTAACCATGGAATATTAATATAGGTGAAAGTAAATTGATGTAACTATATTACTGTTATGGGAGGAAGTGTGGGTGTGGGATAGAGGCTGTAGGGAACGAAATTTTTATCAAGAAATAGCAGTCTAAGCATGTTATTTAGAAAAAATAGGGTAAATAACAAAGGAAGCTTCTTTAAAAAGAGGTTGAAAAATGGTTGTTCCTGGTGTGTAGGAATCAAAGATAGAGAAGGATGGATCAGGGGACTCTCTTGTTACTCATTGTGTGCCTTGTCAATTTATTTAGAGCTATTTGCCTTTTTTCTCCTGAGTACTTCCTAGCAAGCAGAACTTCATTTTAGCAACTGCTGCAACAACCGAAGATTAACGATACTTATGATCCCCAAATTACTCTTAGCCAGCTTCACTAGAGACCTAAAAAGCTGCCTGACAATCCTTTTCTTTTTCTTTACTGGCTGACCCCTTTTTTCATTCTTCAGCTCAGTAGCTCTTCTAATCTTTTTCTACTCTTCATCAACTCCACTCCAGACTGCGTTCCTTAATTTTAGTCATTCTTATAAGTTTGTGACACTATCTCATTTTTGTTTTGTTTTTTAGAGACAATTCTCCATTGATCTCTCATGTTTCTAAACATCCTGTGAGCAGAGACACATATTGCCCTTTTATTCTGGATTATCTATTTAAGGATATTTATATAACAAACAACCTTGTAAGATAGAGACAGTCTTCTGGAAAGTCACGCTTACTGTTCAATATAAAGATTCAAGTTCCCTAAGCCCAGAGTTCCTCCGCTATGATTCAAACAAACTGTAAGTGTAACATCTACCCAATCCCCTCCTTGCCACCCTTGTGGGACTTGGGCAAAGGAAATTCAGCAAACATTATCATCCTGTTACTTCCTGTGCTCCTGAGGAGTAGAATTCTTGTCTCTGACTCAATTTTATGACTTATTTCAGGATTCATGAAACAGTGATAGATGAGGTTGTTAGCTTGAAGGCAGGGAAAACCCTGAGACCTTTCACAGTCTATGATCCTTTAATTTTCAATTCCCTAAAGACTAATGATGTTGAGCATCTGTTCATATGCTTATTTACATTCCACCCATCATTATGATGCAATGTCTATTTGAAATATTTCCCCATTTTTAATTGTTTTGTTACTATAATGGCTTAAGAGTTCTTTATATACCGTTGACACAAGTTTTTCATCAAATGTAAGTTGCAAATATTTTTTCCCAATTTACAGATTTTCTTTACATTTTCTTAGTATCTTTCAAAGAGAAAACGTTAATAATTTTGGCGAAATCTGATTCATCAATTCTTTCTTTTATGCTTGTGTTCTGTTTGACTTTTAAAGCCATGCAAATGTATTGCTGTGATTAAATGCAGTTTTTATAACCTGGAAACAGGGGGAACTCTCATTTTAGAGACAGAAATTTCTATCCAAGGAGCAGCAGTACTTAATTTTTCAAAGTTAAATATCTTATATCTTTAAAAAAAATTATTTTAAATTATTTTATTATTGATATGCTAATTTTATCAAGTGCATCATTGTCTTTCGTTTAATCTCCAAATACTAAGTTATATTGTAAATGTTGAGCTGAAAGTATATATTGTTCTGGTAGATTTGTGGTTGTTTTTACTAATTTGCATTTGTAAAAACCATCTCCTTCTACATTCAGTCTTTATACAGTTTCTTTAAACTGTGCTGGATTGGGTGGGATATAGTGCAACCTATTAAAACTCTTTGTTAATGCTTTTTAAAAAATATAGTGAACCCTTTCTGTCTGTGGGTTCTGCATCGATGGATTGAAAATACCACATTGAAAAAAAATGACAAAAAATAAAATAAAAATTTAAAAATGCAGTATGACACCTATTTATGTAGTATTTACATTGTATTTGGTATTGTAAATAATCTAGAGATGATTTAAAGTATACTATAAGGAGAATATATGTAGGTACTTGAGCATCATAGGGGGAGGTATGTATCCCAGAACCAATCCCTCATGGAAGCCAAGGGATGACTAGAATCTGAATTGTGTTATATGCTAATTTGAACTAATGGAGGCAACCAATCGGGGGCGGGGGGCAAAAACCCTCCCTGAGTTTTATATGATTTTTCTTTTTGGTACCATGTACTCTTAGTAAAGACATTGAGAATCTAATTCAGCTCCCATGATTTACAGGTAAAGAAATTGAGGCCAAAGTTTTAAATGGTTTGGCCAAATTCAAGCAGCTACTTAGTGGCAGAGCAGAGACTTTTCATGGTGAAAGTTATTGTTCAGCTGAATTTTCTACTGCCTTTATTGTTTTGTTGCTGCGTTTATTGTTAGACATTCAAACAGCTATATGAAAACCTTTTTTGTGTGTGTATAGAGAAACTCAAATTAGTTAAAATATTTAGTTAAGCCTGTCCCTATTACCTGTTATATGAGTGATTCTGTAAGACTTAAAAAGTATTTCTTTAATAGATTTTGAGTTCTTTCTTCTAGATATGACAGGCCGTGAAATGGATTGGGATGTTTTATATCTGATTTACTATAAATTTAAATCTGGGCTGCTTGATAAATTATTTTTAAATTTTTTTGTTTTCATTTTGAGACAGGGTCTTGCTCTGTCACCCAGGCTGGAATGCAGTGTATAGCTATAGCTCACTGCAGCCTCGATGTCCTGGGCTGAAGTGATCCTCCAGCCTCAGTCTCCTGAGTAGCTGAGACTATAGGCACACGACACCATACCCAGCTAATTTTTTTTGAAGACAGATTTCACTATGTTGCCCAGGCTGGTCTTGGTCCTGAACTCCTAGGCTCAAGTGATCCTCCTGCCTTCACCTCCCAAAGTACTGGGATTACATGAAGCACTGTCCCTGGCCCCACCTGTTAAACTTTGGTATTTACTGTTTTAGTCCTCAAACATTTATGCTAAACTGTAAGAGGTTGTACTTAAAAGAAATGCTAAGTTTCATTTGCTTATGGTGGCTTTATTTTGAGAACTAATAATAAATTCGAGTGCCTAATACCATAGGATTTTATTTTGATGCAGTAATTACCTAAAGTATTTTGGACAATGAACTTTGGAGAAAGACAGCAGAGAATAGTTACTTTTATTTCAGTCGTAGAACATGAATCTTTCAAACTTTTTTTCTGGAATAAAGTCCTCAGACAGAAGGTAGTCATTCAAATCTCTCTAGCTTTAAGAATTGATTTAAAATAGGAACCAGAAAGAAATATTAGAACCAGACGATGGAATAGTTGGATTCATCTATTTTCCTTCCCACAGGCCCTCTGGTGATGTTCTTGAGACATTCAATTTCTTAGAAAATGCTGATGATAGTGATGAAGAAGAGGAAAATGACATGATTGAAGGCATCCCAGAAGGAAAAGACAAACATCGAATGAATAAACACAAAGTAGGAATTCGATTTTATATTCTTATTAGCTATATATTCATGTAGTTGGAATAGAAATTTTTGAGATGTCTTAAGTTACATTGGGAGTGATCATCTTCATTTTACATATTGCTTAAAGGTTTTATGTGTTCAGCTCTTTTTGCATTACATACAGTAGGAATTATTGTTTGCTGTATTATTCACTAAATGGGCAAGAAAGGATTTGTTTTTGTAGGACTAGTCCGTTGATTTTGAAACCTTTTTAAAGCTACCCCCTTTCCACCTCTGCCACAATTGAGAATCACTGTAGAAGTCTGTCTCTTCTTGTACAGTACACAAGGGGTAAATTAACTGAAGTTGCAGTGGGAATACTTCCACCCTGGGTGAGGGAGTAATCTGTGAATTATAAGTAAGTCTCGACATTCTTGTTCTTTAGTAACGAATAATAAAAATTTATTTTTGCTCATAACCTAAGAAACAGGCTTATCTATTTTAGTGGTTTGCGGGGCTAGCTATAGAAGCAAAAGTAGAGTTGATCGTCCATTTGTGAGTTACCAGAGTAGTGTACAGTATTTCAACCATATAAAAAATGTGGGTAGTTCTAATTGTTGGTGCTTTGAGATTTTTCAGTAATGTAAGGGAAAAAATGACAATGTTCCACAAAAGTTTCCAGTCTACAAAATCAGCTTTCAGTTTTTTGATATATTCTATATGTGTATTATAGTCTATTTGGGTGAATAGAGATTTTAAGCCTTTTTATTTTTTTTGTTCTGGAAGGTAAAGCACTATTATAATAATCACAGTTATGAACTTAAAGTAGTTACTATGCCATATCTCTATGAATGAAGGACTAAGCCTGCAGTTTCCCATTTATGAGGTCAATTCAAGATAACATATCAGAATGCAAATAAGTGACTGGTTCTTCAGTGGAGGACTAATTATGAATATACTATAAGAGACTAACTGTTCTTAATGATTAGCCCTTAAACCATTTTTAGTACCATATTACTTAGATCGATCTTGGACAGCACTGTTGAACCATTTATCTAAGGTATAATTTGGGATTTGTGAATTACATGGGCAATCTAAAGTTTTGGATCCAAGTAATTTAAAAATGGGTGAATATAGTTATGTGACAATATTAAAGGATCCCTTTTTAATGTAGAATAAAAGTAATTCTTGGCTTATATTCTATTTACAGATAGGTAATGAAGGTTTAGCTGCTGACCTAACTGACGATCCTGATACTGAGGAAGCACTGAAAGAATTTGATTTTTTAGTGACTGCTGAAGATGGTGAAGGAGCTGGAGAAGCACGGAGTTCGGGGGATGGCACAGAATGGGGTAAGGTGATAAAGAAATAGGGGGTGGGAGGAAATATAGCCTTTAATGATGAGTTATTATAAAATATTACATGTGGAATGTGTGTATCTGAGTGTATGGTGGCAGTTAAACTGAGAGCAAGGGAGGTGATGTTGAATAATAACAAGGTATTTTGTACCAATTTATTTACATTTAGTGACTAAACTGCTTAATATATATGGCTTCTGGTGGATTTAGATTTTTGTAATTTGTCTGGATTTAAAGTTGAACTATTTAATTAATTTGGAAATTCATTTTCTTTTTCTTTAATAGATTTTTTAAAATGTATGTATTCAGTTTTAAACATTCCCATTATTTAATTTGGTATTCTAGATTTAGGAAGATTTAACTCAGTATGTCTATATGGTGTTATCTGATTAATTACTAAGAAGCAACAAAGCTACTAATCCTGAATTATAGCTCTATATTGAGCACAATTTAGTGAAGATACTAAACTTTACTGCCTATAATATTCAGTGTGTAAAATGTTAGGGCCTAAACTTTGGAAGTGTTACATAATGCTAATAATGATTCAGGCATAACTAAAAGAAAACGATTCTTTATCTGTACACAGTTAAAAACCCCATTAGGAAGTAAAATAAGTGTAAAAAATATTTTAAGGTAATAACTGATGTCCATTATGTTTTTCCTAGTAAATACGTTCATGCAATCCTCATTTAATATCAGCATGTTGTCTGGTAGGTGGAGCAAAGTGTGTTTACTGAGCTTTATTGGAGAAAGTTATTACTTTTTTTTTTTTTTTTCTGAGACAGTCTCGCTCTGTTGCCAGGCTGGAGTGCAGTGGTGTGATCTCGGCTCACTGCAGTCTCTGGCTCCCGGGTTCAAGCAATTCTGCCTCAGCCTCCTGAGTAGCTGGGACTGCAGGTGCACCCCACCACACCCAGCTAATTTTTGTATTTTTAGTAGAGACGAAGTTTCACCTTGTTAGCCAGGATGGCCTCGATCTCTTGACCTCGTGATCTGCCCACCTCGGCCTCCCAAAGTGCTGGGATTACAGGCATGAGCCATTGCTTCTGGCCTGGAGAAGGTTATTTTAATACATCAAAGCTTTGCTTAATTACAAGGAAAAGGAATAATCACTAGATTTTTTTTAAAAATTATTTTGATAGCAAACATTTGGGGTTTTTAGAAAATGCCTTATTTATGTGTTTAAACCAAATATTGCTAATAGCAAGAGAGAATAAACCTAATATATAATACATTTATTATCTTGATATAAAAAATGAATCAAATACTTAAAAGATTTGAATTTTGCCACCGGTTTTCTTTTTATAATTCTCAAGCATTATTTTCAGACCTTCACTTCTCTCTTTTCCTAAATGGAAATAGAAGAGACACATTAATTTAATACATGGGAAAACTCCACAATTACTTTGTAGACTACATTTTTGTACTTACTATTTGAAAACGATTGTGTTTTAGAAGGGTACATTTCTTCAAAATCAGCATTGCTCAGGAGAAACAGTAAAAGTATTTAACTTTTCTTTTAGCTTATCTGTGCAGGCATTCAGTGTCAGAAATACCTTATCTTTTTCCAGTAATCTCAAAAGTATTGTTTTTTTCTTATTGTTTTATAATTATATAAATATATAATTATTTTGTAATAGAAGCATGTTTTAGAAAACTTAGAAGCTACAAATACATGAGAAGATGAATTTTTTTATAAGTATATGTATATATATTTACTTAGTTAACAAAGGATTTTGCTAAATGTTGATTTGTAATGCACACTTTTCACTTAATACATGGTTCTTCTGTAGCGCTTTTTGGTTTTTTTGAGACAGGGTCTCTCCTTGTTGCCCAGGCTGGAGTGCTGTGGTGCAGTCGACTCACTGTGACCTTCGCCTCCCAGGCTCAAGGGGTCCTCCCACCTCAGCCTCCTCAATAACTGAGACCACAGGCGTGTGACCACACCTGGCTGATTTTTACATTTTTTTTTTTTTTTTGTAGAGCCGGGGTTTGTCCATGTTGCTCAGGCTAGTCTTGAACTCCTGGACTCAAACAATCTGCCTGCTGGCCTCCCAAAGTGCTGGGATTACAGGCAAGAGTCACCACACCCAGTCAGCATCGTTTTTAATAGCTTCATAATATTCTGTCAATAATGTGCTATAATTTTATTTAACCAGAGCCCTGTGATGCACATTTAGATTATTTTCATTAAAAAGAAAATGATCAAAATAATTTATTGAGTATCTCTTTAGCTAAATCTTGACACAAATTCATTCCTGTTTCCTTAGCCTCAAGTTGCTAGCAGTTTAGTCAAAGGATAAAGAAAAAATTCAGGAATTTAATTTATATGGAATGGCATTATTTCTTTGATAATAGTTTCCATATTACGTACAACTGATTGATCCTTCTGTCTGAAGACTTTTGAGATTGTAGAGCAGAGTTTGTTTTAAGACAACTTTCAATACTTTGTTTTTTATTGTCAATATTTGACAGTGCCTGTGTCTCCTGTGTAAGCAGAAGTAATTGAAAAAATATCTTCCAGACAAGATGGAAATACCATCTTTAAGACATTTTAAGTTCTCGATGAAGGAAAATAACTTAAGTACAAGATGGTTCAAATAGTTTTTTTTTTTTCTAAAAGAAATGAAAACTGTCAAGTGATTTATGCACTGTTTCCAAAGTTCATTATTTCTACTCAACAAGATGTCATAGTCATTTTTTCCAAAGCAAAGAAGATGAATATGCAAGCAGTCTTATATTTATGAAATTTATTTGCTAAAAAATTGAATACGTTTATAAATAGGAAAGTGGTAGCATTTAGATTTTTTTTTTTTTTTTTTTTTTTTTTTTTTTTTTTTTTTTTTTTTTTTTTTTTTTTTTTTTTTTTTTTTGGTGAGACAGAGTCTCACTCTGTTACCCAGTCTGGAGTGCAATGGCACATTCTTGGCTCACTGCAACCTCTGCCTCCCGAATTGAAGTGATTCTCCTTCCTCAGCCTCCAGAGTAACTGGGATTATAGACCTGGCTAATTTTTGTATTTTTAGTAGAGACAGGGTTTCACCATGTTGGCCAGGCTGGTCTTCAACTCCTGACCTCGGGTGATGCACCCCCCATGGCCTCCTAAAGTACTGGGATAACAGGTGTGAGCTACTGCCCAGATTTAAATTATTGGGTAAAAGAACACTGATTGTTTTTTTTTTTTTAAATAAGTCTTGTCTTAATGAAACATACTCCAGTACTTACTCACATTAGAGAATCTGATTTTTATTTTGTGTATTAGCAGTCAACAAATAACTTTGTTATCTCTGACTTTGAATTTTTTTATTTACGAAACCACTGCCTTTTAGCAAGTTTTTAAATGGTCTTTTCACTGTCATCTATATTAGTCTGAGTTTAATATTAGTAATTTTTCATTCTTCTTGTTATCAAAAACAGTAGTTGGGATTTTTATTTTGCTTTTTATTTCATGGAGACTAGACATTTTAAAATTGTTCATTTATTGTCTCCTGCCTTTGAAACTGTGATTTGTAGAGATTTATAGAAGTACAAAAATACAGTTATCACATGAATGTTTGTACTTAAGCATAATGGATAAAGTATGAGATTATTTGCATAAAGTTAGTAATAAATTTATGCTACAGTTAATAGATTTGTGTAATTCCTCTGCTTTGGTAATCAGAATTACCATAATAGAATTTCATGTTTTTGTGGGTTTGAGCTGTCAGGAGTCAACTTTTTTATGCATATTTGTGTTTTCTTTTAGACAAAAAAGTTACTGTAAATGATTCAACCTCATTTCTTGGTATTTTTTTCCCCCTAGATTTTTTAAAAACAGGATTAATATGTAGAAGATTATGCTGCCTCTTCCCTTTTGCTCTTATCTATTTGTTATAAGCAATATCAAATCAGCTGTTACTTACCAGGCAAGTTTCAGGATGTTGTTTGTGCACATATGCATTCACCAGCCTGTTCTTTGCACTGCCTAAATTTACTTTTGTTTTCTAGATTTGAGATTATCTTGCAAGTATTTTTTTCCTTAAGCTTATCCTTATTTTATTCCCTATGCAATTTCACTCCACTCTCTTTGTCAACTATAGTTAGAGTTATACACAGTGTTTTTCTCTCTACATAGATCTTTTAGAAAACTGTTTGGCTCTTGCTAAATTTTTCTGTTGTATCTAATTTCCTATATAAACTTTGTATGACTTAAGGTTTTTTGGTCTCTATGAGGTTTAGAAAATATTTGCTCAAAATGTATCAATTTGTCTTGCTTTAAGTAGTTGAAATTAAGAATTGTTAACTTCATTAAGATGAGTGCAAATGATTAATTGTTGAGATTCCGGGGGTTTTTTTTGGTATATTCAGTAAGTTTACAGAAGGAGTCCTATGCAGCGTAGTTTTCAGGAAACTTCATGATTTAAATACATGTGAATTGAGTAAAGTGAATTTTCTCTTTAAAACTGTATTACAAACAGCATTACAATTTGTGGATTTGACAGATAACCTTACGTGTGAGTTTTGGTCTTGAGTAACCTAGTTTCAAGTAATTCAAGTTAGCAAGTTGATTTAAAGCTTAGGATTTAGTTTTTTGCATACTGACCACCTGTGATCATAGGTAGGATAACCATCAGGGAAAAACTTACGACAATTGTAGCAGGAAAAACTCAAGGTACAGTAAATATTTGCATTTCTGTGTGCCATTAAAATATGAGAGTTTTTTAAGTTTGGTACATAAAACAATCTATAAAGGAAAAGAAAGGCTTTTTATGTCTACTTTATAGATTAAGTCAGTGAGGCCTAGGGTGGCTCTTACAAAACTTTGTGAGCCAGAATATACTGAGTTATCAAAAACTTAACAAGTCACAGTGTTAAACTTCCTAATGACATGGCTGTTTTAAAACCACACAAAGTAGGGGAAAACCCTCAATATTTAAAATAATTCTCGAAGACTTAATTATTTTTATGTTCCCTCTTTTTAGTGCTGTTTTTCCTCTAGTTTACCATGAGTAAATTTTTCTCAGGCACGAGTATTTAGTTAAATGTGGATTTACTATTCAGCTAAAATAGCTGACGTATCTTTAGCAGATGTACAGCAATATATGTTTTCACTTCTCCATGCTGATCACTACTTTTATCCTGAAAAAGAAATCATTTCTAAAAAAACTCTTCAGTGGAATTTGAGTTTTGTTTTTTTGTGTTTTTGTTTTTTGTTTTGTTTTGTTTTTTTTGCTAATCTTAGTTATAGACGAATGGAAGAAGGTAATGAGATGTTGAACTATTTGGGTGGGTGGGGGCAGAGGTGGGATTCTCTGAATGCTTTGTATGGATTATTCAAGACATTGTATTTTTGAACTATATGTATGTATTATATTGGACTAGAATGCCTCTCCATTAGTACAGTTAATCCTGTGCATGCAGAATCAGTATGACAGAAGGTGCATGAATATTTTCATCAATGAAACAGCACTTAACTTTCTAGCTTGCACTTTTCCAAGTAGTTCGCATGTATTTCATTCATTTGCTTTTATGATGCTGGCTGAATATTTTTTATTAACATTTTTATAAAGATGCAGTGATCTATTTTTATAACATTAGATTTCTAATGTCAGTCCATTGAATGAATAATAACCTTCAAATTTGTGGTTCATAAAAATGAAGCACCATTTAACTGTCGGTATTAAATGTTTAGAGACTTATGACTTGGGCATTTAGAGTTTGAGTTGTGAATACCAGAACTGAGACTGCACCTTTAAAGTATTTTGAATATATGCTATTAGTACATTTTATTATGATTATGTAAAGCTATAACAGTTTACTGCCAACAGCTTGCATTGCCAACTGCTGATTTTTTTTCTTTTAATAATATGCTGCATGTAGATAAAGATGACCTCTCCCCAACTGCTGAGGTTTGGGATGTAGACCAGGGACTAATAAGTAAACTGAAGGAACAGTACAAGAAGGAACGAAAGGGGAAGAAAGGGGTGAAGAGTAAGTGCAGATTCTGACTATTATAATTTTTGTGTTACCAATAATTGAGAAAAAATTCTTCAATTCTGTTATTTTTTTTTTGGTGTAACTTAATTTTTTTTGTTTCGTAAAGGGGGCAACTAACTTTAAACTTTGTCTGTTGTATAATTGAAATTTGTTTGTATATAATTTAGGATGTTATTTGATCAAGTAGAAAACCATTTAAAATATATGGGAAGGGAGAAGGGATGATTTTGAGGATTGTTTTTAAGCTTTAAAAACTTTATCAAATTGTTAGGAATATGGGCATTGGAATAAAAACTTAATAAAAATTTGTTCAAAAGGGAGAAAAGTATAAATTTCTCCATTTTTGATACATAGAGTATAGTTATAAACAACTCATATCCAGGTTACATTTCTTAGTTCGGGAATCCTTAGCCCTTTCTATATTTTTTGCTTTCTGTTGTTTGCAGTTGAAGAGCAATTCTCTGCAGTTCAACCGCAAACAACAACAGCAGCCAAAAGAATCTCTTGGGTAGTATTTTTTGGCTACTGTGGTGCAGGAGACCAGGAGTGGGAAGGCAGTGGTGACAGTAGGGTTTGTTTAGTCATTGCTGGATGTCTTGGTGCCTGGATGTATTTTTCATTATGTTGTATATTAACCAATGTATTTATTAAAAGTATAAATCAGCTATAACACTTCTCTCAAGCGATTCACTTCCATTCGGTGAAACAAACTTAGAAGTTGCCACATGAAAAATATCTTCAGATGTATGACTATTAACTGGAGAAACTTGAAACTTATATTTTGGATCTGTTTTGAACTGGCCGTTGACTCCTGCTAGTCTAACATTTTGACTGTATAAAGCAGAAAATAGTTTGAGGAAAAAGGCAAAAACAATATAGACATTCTTTTATGTTTCTTTGGTGACATACATTCATATGTAAAATGGCAGGTGTAATGGAAAAGTGTGCGAATTTCCTCAATAAAATATTTTTTGAGTGATTTCATTTTTTGTGAAGGCTAATATGTGAGGTTTTGGGGATTTCACCCGTTAGAAAATTTTCTTTTATAACTTTATGATAGCTTTTGTTATTGCATGTGAATTAAAATACTATACAGTGAACTGCTTGTTGTATTTAAAAACATTTGATACTGAGCTGGGGTTATGTTTAGTTGCTAACATCATTTACCTATAATTCAAGCATGTTGAGTATAAAAGTTTATTTGCATGATTGACTATTTTAGAATAGACAAAATGACATTAGAATTTTAGGTTTTTGTTTGTTTGTTTGTTTGAGTCTCTCTCTGTTGCCCAGGCTGGAGTGCAGTAGCGTGATCTCAGCCTACTGCAACCTCTGCCTCCTGGGTTTGAGCAATTTTCCTGCCTCAGCCTCCTGAGTAGCTGCAACTGTAGGTCTGTGCCACCACGCCAGGCTAATTTTTTCTGTTTTTAGTAGAGACAGGGTTTCACCATGTTAGCAAGGATGGTCTCGATCTCCTGACTTCATGATCTGCCCACCTTGGCTTTCCAAAGTGCTGGGATTACAGGCATGAGCCACGGTGCCTAGCCTAGGGTTTTTTTTTTTTTTAAAAAAGAAAGTAGTTTATTTTAATAGTGCGTTTTTTTTATATATAGTATCATAAACTGACTTAATCTGCTGAAGATTTCTTTTGAAATGTTAGATAATGTTGCTTCTAATTTAAAATAGAAGTATTCCGTTTCCCCCTCAGACTATGACTACACCTATATCTTTTTGAGGTCTAGAAATAAGATAGCAGTCAATTCAAGGTCTTTTTTAGTTGTTGCTTTTAAATTTTTCTAAAAAATTTTTAATTATAAAAAGTATGTTTAAGAAATATTAGACAAACTAAAGCTGAATTTTTAACTCCTCATACAAAATTTTTTTAGAGACAAAGTCTCGATCTGTCACCCAGGTTGGAGTGCAATAGTGCAGATAGATAGCTCAATATAGCCTCAAACTCTCCTGTCCTCAAAGTATCCTCCCACATCAGCCTCCTGAGTAGCTGAGACTACAGGCACATACCACCACACCTGGCTAATATTTTATTTTTAAAAAAATTTTTGTAGAGGCAGAGTTTCTCTGTATTGCCCAAGCTTGTCTCGAGCTCTTGTGCTCAAGCCATTCTCTCACCTCAGCTTTTCAGAGTGTTAAATTATAGGCATGAGCCACCCTGCTTGTCCTTATGTTTTTTTAAATTGGAGCTTAGTACACATAATATTATAATTTGCCTACCGCCGTCATAGAAAACATCACTTTATGTCAACAAATAATTCCTTTGTATATGTTTGTGATTTTTTTTCTTTCAAAACAATAGAAAGGAACCCAGTATGTCAAAGAGATGAAAGAGGGCTTCTTTGATTGCATCAGTATCTGGAGACCCCAGATTCGTAACTTAAGGCTTTCATGTCTCAATGTATTCTGTTATTCAGCCCATTCCACTTTAATTTTGATTTCATATCTATTTTTTCAAAAAAAATGAACTTTGCTTATATAATCATAAAAATAACACATGCTTATTATTCAGATGAGAAGTACATAGGAATATAAAGAAAAACTATAAAGTGAAAATCACCTGCAATCCTACCACTCAGAGACTTACTGGTTATTTGGTATATATTCATCCATCTTTTCTTAAAAGTCTTTATACATAGCACTTCCTTTTTAATATTTTAGCTAGAGTATTATTGTTGTAATTTAACTCATTCTTTATTTCGTAATGTTTCATAGTCATCTAAAATATTTTTGTGGATTTAACCTCGCCTCCATTAGTTAAACTGTAGATTTGTTTCTTATTTTAAACATTTTCATAAATATTACTGTCTTTGAGGCTACTAACATAAGTAGATATAGGGATAAGGTCTTTAGCAGAGTGTCTCAGGAAAGATAATTAAGAAATAAATTATGTTTATTTTTTATACTTCCCTTATGGAGTTTTGTAAATTAAAAACTTTTTGCTCTTGAATACAGAATTCAATTTGAAAATGTTGGCTCTGAATCCTTGGCATGAAGATAGAATTTAAGAAAACAAAAACTTTTTTTTTTTTTTTTTTTTTTTTTTTGGATCACAGACTTCGAATGATCTTCATTCAAATAGCTCATCATGTTATTAATAAGCTATAATTTTAAATGAAAAGGTAATTCATGAATTTCTTAGCATTTTTATTATCTAACCCATGTTGGTTATTATTCTAATATTATTCTTATTTAGCTTTGTATACGTTAGAATAATTATCTGTTGCCTTTTGATTTCTTTTTTTTTTTTATTGATTTCTTTTAAAAAAAATTTTAAAAGAAATTTAAAATGGCGACTCACTCCTGCAGTCCCAGAACTTTGGGAGGCCGAGGTGGGTGGATCACAAGGTCAGGAGTTTGAAACCAATATTGTGAAACCCTGCCTTTACCAAAAAATAAAAAAATTAGCTGGACGTGGTGGTACATACCTGTAATCCCAGCTACTCAGGAGACTGAGGCAGAATTGCTAGAACCTGGGAGGCGGAGGTTGCAGTGAGCCAACATCACACCACTGCACTTCAGCCTGAGCGACAGAGCAAGACTCCGTCTCACAAAAAAAAATTTTTTTATCTTACAAATGACACATAATTATAAATGAATGTTTTTTGGATACAGTGTGATGTTTTAATACATTGAATAATGATAAAAATCAGAGTAGTTAGGATATTCATTTCTTTGTGGTTACAGCACTCAATATCCTTTTTTCTAGCTACCCTGAAATATAGAATACATTATTACTAGCTATAGTCACCCTACTGTGTTACAGAACCAGAACTTATTCTACCTACGTAAACGTAAACTTGTATACATTTACCAATCTTGATTTTTTTTTCTTTATTCCAGAATTTGTTAGTAATTCACACCTACTAGATTAGCACTAAGCTTCTACAGATTTTTTTCACCTCAACTTCTTAAAGGGAAGAAAACTATTTGCTAACTTTACCGTATGGAATCAGCAGATGTAATCCAGTCTTTTTCTCTTTTTTTTTTGGAAGGGAAAGAGAAAAATGGCAAGAATGCTGACTTTTTAACTTTGTAAAGACTCATTCAAGATTTGACTTTTAAATGGAAAGCCTTCTAAAATCAAGTGCTAAGTTAAAGTTTCTGTGTCTTCCAGCTTGTTCACTCTATCCCATCCTTCTTTTTTTTCCCCCACCCAGGCAAGAGGAAAAGGGATTAAAAGTGACAGCCTTGTCTTGGAGTGTAGACCCACTTCAGTATTTCCTTCTTACTAAGTGAGATATACAATATAATTGAGATGTACTTTATCTTATTAATACTCTAAGAGTCAAGACCATGAAACTAAAGAGGGCTGATGCACTTATTTTGATTTCAGGCTTCAAAGGGTTAAGCTTTCTTTTCCATTTAACTTTTTATTTTGACATAATTTCTGACTTAAGAAAATTTTGTGAGAATAGTACAGAGAATTTCATATACTTTTCACCCAGGTTATCCACCACATGTTAACACTTTACCACACTTGCTTTTCCCTTTCCTTTCTGTAAATATATATATTTTTTTTTAATTTGTTTTTTGAGACAGGGTCTCACTCTGCTGCCCTGGCTGTAGTGTAGTAGCACATCGTAGCTCACTGAAATCTCAAACTACTGGGCTCAAGCAATCTTCCCACTCCTGCCTCCCAAGTAGCTGGGGCCACAGGTGTGAACCACCATGCCTGGCTAATTTTTAAATTTTTTAATACACAGGATCTCTGTATGTTGCCCAGGTGCGTCTCAAACTTCTAGCCTCAGGTGATTGTCCCACGTCAACTTCCCAAAGCGTTAAGATTTGAGGCATGAGGCTAGGTGTGGTGGCTCACATCTGTAATCCAGCACTTTGGGAGGTCGAGGCGGGCAGATCACCTGAGGTCAAGAGTTCAAGACCAGCCTGGCCAATAGGGTGAAAACTTTTGTTTTTTGTTTTTCAGTTTTTTTTTTTTGGGAATAATTCAGAAAACTGAGTTGTAGACATGGTATTCTTTA